GTGTCTTGAATATGAATATATCTTTTTTTTTTAATTATTGCTTAAAAAAGACATTTCATTATGTATTTTCAAATGCCTAAGCCTATGTTTAATTCCCTTAATTATAACATTTCTAGCGTTATTTTTAAACGTTTAGTCAAACAATAATATATTATCTCATGTGTCTAAAATCAGGGCTTAAAATTAATTGTTTTTAAGTAAAAACGATAGGCTTTTTTTGTTACATTTCCCCAGTTACAGTTTAGAACGACATAAAACATTACTTAATTAATTCAAGGCACTGTAATTTCCTTATCCATTTGACGTAAAACTATTATATATAATTAATTTATATATATATTTATTCAAATCTTCTACAGTAACTGATGCCTCCTTCTATCCCGAATCTTTGAAACATGTGTTGTATGTGTTGAAAGTGAAACCTAAAAAACAGCTTGCAGGCTTTCGCGAGCTTCAGCAAATGCACTCGATCACAGATTGCACGCTTCCCAGCCGAAACAACCCCCCACGTGAAATTGAAATAAGATTTTGGCCATAATTTGGTGATCCGATTCTTCAACCGCTCGCTCCACTTTGATCATGGATATAAGCCAATAACGAAATCAATAAAAGAAGATGCCGATCACGGAAACTAATAGCAGAGTTAGGTAAGAATAGTCGTATTGCAGTTTTCTCGATTGTTAACATAGCTGTAACTGATTTTAATTGGCACTTTTTTCCCCAAACCATTAATTCAGTTCTGTCAGGACCACTATCGTCAAAATGATAGATACTTAGCATAAAGTTTGGTTTGGCGGTATGGTTCTGTTCTGGGCAAAAAACCTCCCTGCCCATCCATGCAGCCTGTCATGAATGAGCAGGGAGAGCAACAATAATAACCCCCTAGGGTTTACAGAACAGAACAAGGCAGATATCATTAATGTACTCAATGATATTTAAGTGTAACACTTTATTCAAGATAAAGGAGTCTGATTAGCAAGGAATATCAGAAAGCTAAGTCCTGACTGTGGCAAAAGGTGGAGCTGGGGATGGAGGAGGGTAATTTGCTCCGAAGCAAGCTGAAAAGCTGCTGAATAATACTGAATACAGCTTATATAGGAATGCCGCGATAGGTGTCGTATTCCTATAGGTAGATGTGATCAGCTGAGAATCAGCTGATGCAAGCTTGGCTCACGTGACCTGCCAGAACTAACGCTAAAGCTTAATTTTTCAAAACAAAGACACATTTCTCAAAAAGTTGAACAATGAGTAAGTTAAACATTAGTTAGCAAAACTGATGACACACCAATCAGAATCTCTGCATCCTAACAGTGGAGAGAGGAGAGAGCGGAGCCAATCATGATCTACAGGGCTTTTATACTTACACATACAGTATTATTACAGTACAGTACCAGTACATTAGATCATGGAAATGTCACTATTCTATAGGGATGCACCCAAATGAAAATTCTTGGCCGAAGCCGAACAAAATGAAACACTGTGCCGAAGGCCGAATACCGAACATGGTTTTTCGGGGGGTTTTCCCGTGTATTTTGCCAATTTTTTTCACCATTGCACAAATTAAATAGCCAAAATGTGCTTTTTACTGTTCTGTCTTGCTTTTCAAAGAAAAAATAAATCACAAAACAACAATTTAAAGATATTTAACACTGAACATGTTTTTTTACATTCTAGCAGACACAATTAACTTGGGCATGTATTTTTACTATACAATTAAAAGCAGCCTTGCTGAGCAGAAGAGCCTTCTTTTAAAACATTAGAAAATATTACAGATCCTATGTGTGAATGTTATAATACATGTATTAACAGAGCTATTGAAATTATCATTATTATTGTCTTCCTTTTTATTTTATTTTACAGAACAAATTACAATACTAACATTTATGAATGTTGATGGAGTTCTTGCTCTTTCTCAACTTTTATTTTGACAGAAACCCGCAGGAAGACCTCAGCACTTCTTTTTGTTGACAACAGCAGATTTATAAATGAGTCTCATTACGAATACGTCACACGTATCGCATTGTAACTTGCCTTGTAAAAAAAAACATAGAAATGTGAGTGAGCAACTGACGAGTACATTTAGCAATTGTGAATGGTTTGTGTGTTGGTAAGCAATTTTTTATTCAGTGTTTTCATAAAAGCCTTATTTTAATGCATTTTCGTTACAAAAAATACACAGCTACTATTATTTAACATTTGAATAAAACTTTAATAATAACACTTTTCTCCTCTCTGTGATTATTTGTCCTGTTTTTGAGAAGACTCTCTCTGAGGGGACCGATGTTGCAACAATGCAGTGTCTTTCTACCTTAACCAACGCTTGTGTTTAAATCCTCTCTCTGTCGCTCTGTGTACCTGGACTGTCCCACTACACTCGCTATCTTCAGAGCTTGTGTCCCCATTCCTTCCTTTTTTGTAACTAAAAAATGCATAAAAATAAGGCTTTTATGAAAACACTAAATAAAAAGTGATAAAATTCTGATATTTTGAATTTTCTGAAAATCTATAAAAATAGCTTTATTTATTTACCTTTATACAAACATATTGATTATTATGTGCACTGCCTCTGAGACTCAACGACGGAACACAGGACACTGTACAGGATGGGCCCCTAAACAAGGACAAAAACCATGCCTTTTCTTGGGTGTTTACTGGAACAGTAAAATGGGACAGTGTTACAATAATTGTCTCTGAAAGTATATAAATCATTTATAATCCACATTTACATATGTCCTATCAAATAATGAGCCAAGAAGAGATGTTAAACACTGCTGGCAGCTGATAAATGATAAGCATTCTGTTTATTTGTTCGCAAGAGAAAATATTATATGTAGCAGATGTAGCAGGATCTCAGTTTACAATTTAGTTAGTGATTTTACTGACTTTTCATGCAGATGTTTTCTGGCATCTTTACTTGGGTCTAATCATGCACTAATGAGAGATCTACTCTTAGACAAGAGACAAGATTGTTGCATGGAGCACAACATATATCATTGAGCTTTACAGAATGTATTGAAAATGTATAGAAACACAAACTACCATTTTAAACCATTGAAAAGTTAAGAAAAATGCCTATAAATGAATATTGTTGCATGTTAATAAATGACACAAAAGGGTCCCGTTCTGGAAAATGGCCCTAATGGTGCTTAAAATGCATTTTTCTCTTTTCTCTGGAATAGTCTGGTCAAAGCTGAAGTCACAGAAAGCATTAGAGCGCTGGCAGCCAGACACAGAGGTGAGTTCTTCTCAAACACATTCAATAGTCTGACATTACGCTGAGTGAAGCCACATTCAGCTGTACAGCTCTGCTCTGACTGAAGCTTCTGCTTTAACCAGCGTTAATCAGCTGTTCAGACTCTGCTTCGGCTGCTTGATTTGTTTCTTTTGGAGAGAGATTAGTGATTAGTGAGGTTTTCAAGCGGGAAAACCCTTCAGACTGGATGTTTATGAGTTCAGAGAGAAAGAAAATATCTCTACATGTTATCTTGCAGGAGGAATATGAAGACTCCAGCGGAAACGTGGTCAACAAGAAGACTTATGAGGATCTGAAGCGACAGGGGCTTCTGTAGCACAACAAACAAGATCTCTGAACACACAAAACACTCACAGTGTAAATACTGAAGCAGAAATGTGATCGAGTTTAGTCCTCGTCTGTCCCACAGTTTGTGAGAAATTTGATTTGTCTTTTTGAGAATGATCCGTTTGTACATTTGTATTACTCTTTCATCATGCCCCATTTTCTCATTTGCTGTCTTAATTATTAAACAAAGACTTTCATTAATCAATGAATTTTAGTACATCGTGTGAAACATGTTTACTTGTGCAGCATGCTGTTTTTAACCAGTCTGGAGACTTTTTAAACCTGCTGTACAATAAAATCAAAGAGTGAGATGGTTTTACTTCAGTAGGCATCTGTCACTGTACTCAAATATATTCAGACTCCTTCATTTTCCCAACATTTTATGTTGCAGCCTAATGCTAAACTCCTTTATTTTCATTCACATCAATCTACACTCCATACATCATAATGACAGAGAAATCAGATGTGATAACTGCAAATGTAGTGAGAGAAAGAAAGACAAAATAAACTGAAAAACAGTCTCACATTAACATAAGAATTATTAAGTTCTATTGCTTTGACTGAATTTAGTTCAGATGCACCCAATTTCTCTGGATCATCATCGAGATTAAAAATAATTTCTTCAAATGCAGATTTCCACTGTATTTCAATGTTGAGTCCAGCTTATTAAAGGTCCTCTTCTGTGTAATTAGAGCTCAGCTGTATCAGATCCCTTCCTACAGGATTATGAAAGTACATTTAATCTTTTGGCCAAGATTTTTTGGTGCATCTTCATCAATTTAACTGAGTTTGGGTGATAAGATTAACACTTTGTTTTTAAGACTCAGTTGGGACTCCTGAATAATTAAAATAGTGACTTTGGTTATAGAATGATATTTTAACCATTTTTTCATAGACAGGAATTTTACCAATTTTACAATCAATATTAGATTCATCTGATGAAAAAGTATTCGCTCAGTTATAGTATTGTATAATTTATGTTACTGTCAGTGACAGAAGTTCAGCTGTAGTTTTGTTTTAAAGGGGTCATGACATGGATTTTTTTTAATTTCAATATGTACCTTGAGGTTTACTTATAGTGTTAATAAAGTTTTTACACAAAAATCATTTATCATTTTCAACTCTTATTCTGACCCTCTGTCTAAAGCGACCTGTTTTAAGGGGCGGGTCCTTTAAGGCTCGTCAGTATCCGCCCACTGTTATGATTGGCTAACATCACAGCACAGGAAACAGTATCAGGCCCCCTCGCTGTCACATGTGAGTGTTTTGCTCTGGAGGCGGGGTTTATGCAAATACGAGCCGTTTTTGGAGCTTGATTAAATAAATGCTTTGTTTAATGAGGAGGACGTTTTAAGCTATGAAACTTGCAGGTGTTTTAATGGTTCAAAGACCCCAAAACATCTGCACGAAACAGCAGGTGGCGCTAATGAACAGGGTTGCCAGGTTTTCGCAATAAAACCAGTCCAATCGCTTTCGAGGAGGGTTCCCTGTAAAAATCGCATTCCGGGGGTAAAAGTAAAATTCAAGTAAAATTCACATTCCAGGCACTGAATATCACGTTATTTGGGTCGCTTCAACCCGCGGACATGAACAACAACCCGCGGCAACTGTGTTAAGTAGCTCAATTCTGTGGGAAAACCGCGGACTTGGCAACACTGCTTATGAACCGACGGGTTGGCGATCACTGATCTAGATAGTTATAATAGCTTTGCTGATGATTGTCGACCCCAAACATAAAACCCAGGACAGAGCGGCTGAGTGAATGTGGTCTGGACTGTGTGGATGAGGTTCATTGTGTCAGAGACGCTGTAGAAGCACAGAGTTCCTGCACTGTGATCCACATACACTCCTATTCTCCTGCAGCTGGAGGAAACAGGGAGTTCAGTCTGACTCTTATTGTGCAGGAATGAGAAACTGGAGGGAGAGCAGCACAAACTCCAGGACTGATCATTACGTCCAAACACACACTTATTGACAAATCCCTTCCTGCTGATGCTCTTATATGACACTGATATATCCACATCACTCCCACTCCACTCAAGCTCCCAGTAACAGCGTCCACTCACACTCTCTCTACACAACACCTGAAGATAAACATCAAATCTGTCTGGATGATCAGGATACGGCTGGAGGGTGTCAGTGTAAGTCACCGCTCTGTTCCCTTCAGACAGACGGAGGAGTTTATGTGCAGTGTTTGGATCCAGAGTGAACTGATGGGAATCTGATGGAAAAAAAAAACACTGTAATCAGGAGTTGTAAAAGTTAAGCTTTTATCTTATTTATTTACGCTGTCTATCTTATCTATCCTTATGTATTTATTTTTAAAGATGGTTTTGATCTATCAGAGTTGTGGCATGATGTTCATGAATTCACTTCAAAAACTGTTATTCTCACATTGAAAGTTTGCATCGGGAGTGTTTCATGTCCAAATTGTCCTTCTCTCAACTTACTTTCATGTTTATCCCAACTTTCATTCAAATTTAAGCCAAATCCCTTTTTATCTTTTTGTGTAGCTGAACTGTCTTTTTTCTTTTACATAAACACAAATACATTCACATGTAGGCCTACAATTCACACACAAGCACAGAAAGCTGTAGATATATGGACAGAACAGACAAACATATCAAGTTGCAGTTTTAGAAATGTACAGGATTGGTTGTTGTAATGCTGCTGTGGTGAGGGATGAACTATTGGGCATCTCATTTTGTATTTGTATGTTGGTTTGTTAAATGAGTGTTAATTATTAAATTAGTATTAAATATTATTAATAAAGTAATCTGATTACAACCTTAGAGAAAAAAATAGTAATTCAAAGTAAACAGCAGCATGAATGTATCTATCACTTCTGTCAAACAGAACTAACAGTGTGTGTCATTGTGTTTGTTAGTGGCTTACATTGTAGGAAGTCCTCTCTGGTCCTGGGAACAATGTTACTGAGAGTGTCTGTGAAAATATCAGATATAAACACTCAGAGAGAAAATGATACCTGTATCTATTCCTTAGACATTTCTAACATTTTCTTTATGATATTAGATTATGTTTGTCTCATTACAGAGAGCAGATGAATCTCTAATATTTTACCAGATATCTTTTTCATCTCCTCTTTGCAGAAATCCTCCAGTTTGTGTCTCAGCTGACCGACAGATTCTCTCACAGCATCAAAAGAAAAGACAGATATAAAAACTCACAGAGAAAATGATACCTGTATCTATTCCTTAGACATTTCTAACATTTTCTTTATGATATTAGATGATATTTGTCTCATTACAGAGAGCAGATTAATCTCTAATATTTTACCAGATATCTTTTTCATCTCCTCTTTGCAGAAATCCTCCAGTTTGTGTCTCAGCTGACCGACAGATTCTCTCACAGCATCAAAAGAAAAGAGGAAACTGACAGAGATGTTTTCTGTAAACTGAGTCTCAAACTTCTCTTCTTCTCCAAACTCACCTTATGAGACTCCACAGCCTCTCTCAGCTGCTCAAGATCTTTCTGTCTGTGCTGGATTCTCTGCTGGAGTTCACTCTGTGTCTCCTTCAAGTGTTTCTGGAGCAGACATTAAAAACAGAAAACCTCACATATTACACAAATACAGTATATCACAAAATCATGTCAAATTTTGGCTGTTTGATTAAAAAAATTCTTCTTTACAGTGTTTCTCAGAGTTTTAAGATCATTAATTAAAGCTAATTGAATAGCTTCCAAGAAGTCCTCACATATGAAGGAGGGCATATACGTTTATTGTCATCATTATTCTGCAATCAAGAATTAATGTGAAGAAATGGGCGTTCAAACTGAGTGCAATTTGCAGCAAAAACAATAACTCTGATGCACGTACAGTTATAGTAGAAATCTTGAGCGATGTGACAAAGGCAAGTAAAGTTCAGCTCATGCTCTAATGCACAGAGCCGTCATGTAGTAACTCTCAATGGGAGAGAAGATCACATGATGCACTCATGATACAGCTGGATACTGCAGTGAAGAGAAACACTTGAAGTGTCAGCATTAATACATCAATGTGTCGTTTCAGTTCATACCTCTTTCTCTGTCCTCTCTGCTGCAGTTGATACAGTCTCATGGTTTTTATGTTCATCTGTCATACAAAGTACACAAACACATTGCTGGTCAGTACGACAGAAAACCTCCAGAAGCTTATCATGTTGATGGCAGATCATCTGCTGCAGTCGTCCAGTGGCATCAGTCACTTTGTGTCTCTTTCCTGAGCGAAACTCCTCATGACGCTCAAAGTGAGTTTGACAGTAAGACTCCAGACACACCAGACAGGACTTGACAGCTTTGTGTTTTCTTCCTGTACAGATGTCACACTCCACGTCTCCAGGTCCAGCAGGAAGAGCAGCTTTTAGTTTGGTCTTCTTCAGTTTCTCCACCACTTCAGCCAGCATGGTGTTTTTAGCTAAAGCAGGTCTTGGACTGAAGGTCTGTCTGCACTGAGGGCAGCTGTAGACTCTCTTCTGATCCTCTTGATCCCAGCAGTCTGTAATGCAGCTCATACAGTAACTGTGTCCACAATGTATAGTCACTGGATCCTTCAGGAGATCCAGACACACTGGACAGCTGAACTGCTCCACTGAAAAAACACTGGCTTCAGCCATTTCACTGTCTACAGCAATACAGACACACAAACAACAGCTCAACAGCAGATCAGTTTCAGTTTCTTTTAACTGAGTTTCCTGGTTCTGTGTTTGAGAGACGTGTGCAAAACAGGTGTGTCTGTAAGTCTGTAAACTCACATACTGAAATGTCCACTAGATGTCAGTCTCATACAGAAACTCAGAGTTAGTGAGAACACAAAGTGGGATAAACACCTTTATAAAATAACACTGCACCAAATTACTCAGGATTATTAGAAAGCTAAAGGCAGGAGTGTTTTATTAGGGTTTGAGCTAAACTCTGGGCGACAGTGGCCCTCCAAGACCAGAGCTGCTCTGACAGTCTGAAAAGTCTCATGTTAAATAATTAGTAACACTTTAGAACACTGTTCCATCGTTAATGAATAACTACACCGGAACAAACGAGTAACACACTATTAACTAACAGGAAACTCATGATAAATGAATTAGTGAGCAGTTCACAAGGTGGCTCTGACTGTAGTGATATTAGTAAGAAACAGTCAGGACCCATTGTCCGTAACTAAAACCTCGGGGACCCCATGACGAGCAAACATCGCTTTAAGTTTCTCTATCACAGGAGTTGTTGCTGTTGAAGTGAGAGAAGTAACTTCTATGTAGCGTGAGTAGCAGTCAGCAGCACAGTGGAAAAGATCTGCTGCACTCTCTGTCATGGTCAGGAGGGTAAAGCAGTAGTCAGCAGGGCTCTGGGTGACTGTAGCTGTTTTTGACACAAGTTTCACACTGACTCACTTTGTCTTTGACTTGCTTTGTTCCATCAGGCCACCATACTGACACGTGTGCTCTTGCTAAGCATTTAGTGATGTCTTGATGCCCCTGATGTATCTTTTCTAGAACTTATTCCTGTATACTGCCAGCTATCACAAGTCTCTTTCCTTTCATCAGCAAGCCCTCTGCGATGAGCAGGTCATGTCTCTGTTGACAAAACGATGCTAAGTGTGGTGAATACTCTTTTTTCATTCCCACGCTGTGCGCACAAGATAACCTACCTGTCTGCACACTTCATCCTCTTCCTGAGCCCTCTTTATCTGAGCAATTGTTGAATGGCATGATCAATTTGACATCTTCCTCTCTTTTAAGGTCTGCTTCAGACAGGTGTTCGTTGAGTGGAGCTCTAGAGAGTGTGTCTGCTGGGTTAAACATAACCAACCCATGGGTTCAAAACAACCTAATAGCTGGGTTTGTCCCTTTTTAACCCAGCATTCTTTAGAGTGGAAACATGACAACTACAACTGTATCAAAAAACAGCCAATATAACCTGATCACATTTTCTCTTGGTGGTTTCATAAACACAGTTACAGCAAATAGAGAAAAACTAATGTTAGAAAGTTAAGGGTCAAGAGCCCAACTAAAGTCAAGTCAAGTCAAGTCACCTTTATTTATATAGCGCTTTTAACAATACAGATTGTGTCAAAGCAACTGAACAGCATTAATTAGGAAAATAGTGTCAATAATGCAAAGTTTTTTCATTTTTCAGTTAAAGACAGTTCATCATTGAATTCAGTGATGTCAACATCCAGCTCAGTTTAAATAATATCTTTGCAATTATGTCAACGATATTGCCGGAAATAAAGCAAATGCTTATCTCCACAACGGTGTCTTCAAATTGTATTCTTTTCAATAAACATTAACATCTAAACCTCTGTTCATTCTTAATAAGACATTTTTTGATGCATGACAAAAAAAGTCAAACTGGTTAGTAATGTGTGAAGCTGGTGATGCTGTTTGTGGAGTTGTTTAATCATCTTCTTCTGAGATCTTGGGAGATTTAATGTCTTTTATTTCAGTTGATTTCATCTAATGCCGAGTTCACACTGCACGATTTTCAAACTCGTCGGATCGCCGTTGTTTTCACACTGCGTGACTATCTGGGGTAGCATTCAGTCGCTATTAGATATATAGATATTATATAATATAGATATTTCGGATCGGCGACAGGGGGTTTCACACTGCATGACTTCACAATAGGAAGAATCGCCAACAGCTCTGTCTGGTCCGCAAACTACGTTTCATGACAAAACACACGCCAGAAGTGATAAGGAAATAACGCGAGAACCCGCGTGAGTCAGACCCCAGCAAGCAATAGCCGTCATTTCAACGTCTCGGTTAAGTATAGACCCGATATAGTCCGGCTATGTGTAACCCACTTCTAGCCCAAATAACCTTGAATTTGGTTTCATGTCGTTTTTTGGCAAACTAACGTGTGAGATGTATGATATTCCATCATGTAAGCAAAGTCAACAGCATTTACAGGGTGTTTGGTTTCATTTCTTTGACATGTTCAATACGTAGCCTGAGCATAGCCACGATTTAGCTCGTAGTCAGAGCGGCTATCTGTAGCCCACTTATAGTCAAACCTGATTCACTGTAGTTTTTGGCCAGACAGCGCATGAGACTGATATCCCATCATGTTCGCAGTGTCAATAATATCTACAAAGATATAAGTGTCATCTTATGACATGGTTTATATGTAGCCACGATTTAGCTCTAAATTAGACGGGCTACGTGTAGTCTGCTTTTAGCCCACCCGGCGAAATCGAGGCAATCTGTGGTCTAATTTTAACGGCTTGGCTATA